GAGGGACAGTGCTTGTTCTCTACGGGGACATGCACAGTGTGACTTGAGCTGTGGAAGAGGAATTGAGCTGCAGGTGCTTGTGGAAGGATTTTCCAGGCAAAGGAGCTGGACTGAGGTCTGCCAGGAAGGATCTCCAGAGAAGAGCACGCCTAGTGTGAGTTGGCCCCAGGGAAGGAAGGGCAGCCTCCAGGCTCACCAGACCCCATCAGAGCCGCTTGATCTTGGATTTGCTGATGAAGCAGGCTGTGTATAACAAAGAGAGCCCTGGTCATTAAATTTCTCTCTTTACCTCTGTTGTTCATTAGTAGTTTGTGGTACATACCTGCAGATTATGTCAAAATCCAGTTCTCTTTTTTAAAATTTTATTTATTTTTATTTTATGTGTATGGTGTATTGCCTGCATGCAGGTAAATGCACCTGTGTCATGCAATGCCTGTGGAGGTCAGATGAGGCTGTTGGATCCCCTCGGACTGGAGTTATGGACAGATGTTAGCTGCCATGTGGGTGCTGGGATTCGAACCCAGGTCTTCTGCACAAACAGCCAGTGTTCTTGACCGATGAGCCATCTCTCCAGCCCCCCAAAATCCAGTTCTCTATGAAAAGCTTTCGCTCTTTCATTTTAGCATAGCTTGATTGCTTTTGGTTCGTTCAGTTATTAGTATCATAATTTTAAATCCAATTTTATTAATTGGCATTCTCCTATAAAGAAGGGCTCCCCGTCCTGTGCTTATTTACTTACTTACTTGTTCATATATTTTAAGTATGTAGTCATGGGTTCTGGCCTTGGACGTGGCTATAATGTATTGCTGTCGTTATTTATTTTGAGGCTTATGGTTGTGTCCTGTGACCTTTGGACATGAATTCCCCATCTTTTCATACCTTCGTATTTGCTAACTCTGGACGTTCCCAGATGCTTACCTCCTCTTTTCTGAGTCTTGCGATGCGGAAAAGTCTTTCTCACGTGGAGTCTGGTTGTGGGGCAACCTGGATGTTATTTGGTAATGCAGAGGCCCCTCAGCAGGGAATGAAATACATTCGTGTTTTCTTGAAATGGGTGATATTGGCTTCAGACCGAAGACTGAAGGTAGAGGAACTCCAGAGACAGAACCAGATAAGCCAGTTAAGATATGAGTAGAACAGTAGCCACCATTCCAGACCTGTTAAATCAGTCTCTGAGGGTAAGACAGAGGAACCGAATTAAACAGATAGAACAAAGTACATATAACTCCAACATACTTTCAAAGTTGAGAATCAAGGCTTTAGAAGAAACTTTCAATGCCCAGAAATAAGATGTTGAAGCCATTTAACATAAGAACCTGTGGGCACTGGAGAGCCTCCAGCTGTCAGTAGCTCATACTGCTCTTCTGTAAAGGACCCAGATTCCATTCCCAGCCCCCATGTCAGCTGGCTCACAAGAGCCTGTAACTCCAGCTCTGGGGGATCTGACATCCTCTTCTGGCCTCATATGCACTTACCCCCACATAACTAAAAATAAAAACAAAATCTTTAAAATAGCAGCTGTGGTTTAGTATAAAAGACTTTGATTTTAATGACCAGTTCCCGGGTTCAGGAGTTTTTAACCACCTGAATGGCCATGTGACCTTTTAAATTCAGGGTTCATTCATAAAAGAAGAGACCTCATTGATTTTTCAAACTTCCCGGGACTCTTATGAAGATCGAACTGAGGAGCAAGTGAGTGATTGCCTCTTTACACAAAAACGCTCTCTGAAGGGCAAGAGCTATTATTTCCCCATAATCAAAGTTGATCAGAAAAATAAAATGCATTTCTTACTCTTTACCAGATTATTTTGCTGCTGTGTTCATCCTCTCATTCTTTCAACCAATACTGATTAAGTCAGGTGTCATATACTGAGAAGTAAGGCAAAATGAGATTCTAGAGTTCAAGTTCAGTATAATTGTGTCACAAAGCAGAGACATTAATTCAGTTGAAATAAATGTAAATATATAATATACTGTGAGAAATAGAGAAAGAGACTGTAAGCTGAAAGTACATTTAAAATGAACAATATCAGTTTCTGTGCACTTAGAAAGTTGAATCAGCCCTGTATTCTGGTCTGCTTGGTTCAGTCCTGGTTTATACCGTAAAGTATATCATTTAAGCAGATTTTTCTTTTTCCTGTGTTGTTTGCAACTTTAGTAGAATAAACTTTATGTAAATCAAATATGTGCATGTGACGTGGGTCATAGGTTGAGTTTTAACCCACACACTTACCATGAACATGTGTATTAGGTCACATGATTTTTCTTGGGGACCTCTTCAGTCTAGGCTCTGCTCATCTACCACTCACCCTTACCCTGCCCAAGGCAACCACTGACTTGTTTTCTGTTGTGAGATATCTGTTGGATTTTGTAATTATAGTGTATAGAATCTTGGGGGGAAGGAGCACCAGCTTTTTTCATTTGGCATAATTATTTGAGTTTCATTCATTTTGTAAGTATCAGAAATTAATTCCTGGGGGCTGGGGAGATACCTCAGCAGTTAAGAGCCTTTGCTCTTGGAGAGGAACTTGGTTCAGTTCCTACACCACTCATGAATGGCGCTCACAACCACCTGTAACTCCAGCTCTAGGTCATCTGACAACCTCTTCTTGTCTCTTTAGGCACTGTATATAGGTGGCATACACACACACAGGCACATAAATAAAAATAAATCTTTAAGAAGCAATTCATTCCTTTCTTAGTTTTGAGTCATCATTGTGAAAATATTTCTGAACTCAATAGTCAGTATTTTATAAAGCTCCAGGGGATAGCGACTTAGTTGGTGGAGGTGTGTGGATCAATATAGAACAATGCATTTATATCTCCTGTGTATGTGAGAAAATATTTCTGAACTCAATAGTCAGTATTTTATAAAGCTCCAGGGGATAACGACTTAGTTGGTGGAGGTGTGTGGATCAATATAGAACAATGTGTGGGTCATTTGTAATCTGGGTCTGTAACAAACAAAAGCCATTATGAAGTTGGATATGAGGGTATGATGGTGTATGCCTTTAATTCCCACAGTCTGGAGGGGGCAGAGGAAGGTGGATCTCTGTGAGTTCCAGGCTGATCTGGTCTACCTAGTGAAACCCTATCTTAGGAAAAGGATGGATGCTACTATGAGTATTTGTACACAAGTCTGCAGATATACATCTTTGTGGGTAAATGCATGGAAGTAGAATGGTTCTGTTGTAGGTCAGTGCACATTTAGGACAGTGCCACACAGCTCTCCATCACGTCAGTCAAAAGTGGGGTCTCCATTCTTCCACTGTTTTCTTTTTCTTTTAAAGATTAATTTCGCTTCCATTTGTGTGTGTGCGTATTTACGTGTGTGTGTCTGTGTGTATGCATATATATATATATTTATACTCAAGTGTGTGCCTGCAGTGCCCATAGAGGCCAGAAGAGGGCATCAGATCCCCTGGAGCTGGAGTTACAGACAGTCGTGACCTGCCTGACATGGGTGCTGGGAGGTGAATTCTGAGTCCTCCGCAAGCATTAACTGCTGAACTACCTCTCCAGCCCCTTCCACTCTCTTTTGGCAGATCAAATATTTTCTCTCAGTTTGGAGATTACCTTGGTACCTTTTCAACTGTCTTTGAAAGATGAAATCTTCAGGTTGCGATGTGGCTGTTAAGTGATTTACTCCCTCCTACCCTTTCTGCTACTGTCTTCCAGACTCCGGTCACATAGATTTGGTCCCTTTGCTTTCCAATACAAGTTTATAACTTAGGGTTGGGCTTCTGATCAGTTCTGTTGTTCCTTTTAATACATAACGTGAGGCATGAGTTGGAGTGTGTTAACATTGTTTGGGGTTTCTTTTGCATATAGCCATCAAATTTTTATGATGCCATTTGTTGAAAATTGTGTCCTTTTCCCAATGAATTGCCCAAGCCGCTTTGTTGAAAAAAAATCAATAGAAAACTTATGTGTAAGCCTATTTCTGCACTCAATAGTCAGTATATTATGAAGACAGTCTGAGACGGTGATTCAACCTGTGAAGCTGTAGAAGGAAAGCTTACAGATCACTCTGAAACATGGATTTTGCTTTAAGTCACCAGTTCCCATGTGGACATGAATATCGGAATGCCCTGGACTTCAGGAGGTCCAGCCCACAGTCCCAGGACGTACCTTTCTAATAAGTTTCTTATCAGACACCAAAGGAGTGCTCCAACTTTAGTTCTGATCATTTTCTTTGCTGAATTTTCTGTGACTAGAAGCACATGAAACACTAGCTGATAATATATGGTCCATCAGCAGGAGGGGGACTTGGCAAGCAGTTAGCCATGCCTGATTCTTGTTCTCCTGTCTTCAACATGTAATGTGCTACCCAGGTCTGGGACTTATGATTTCCCACACTTCATCTGTCCAGGATGAGATATGACTCCACTGCAATTCTTATTTTAAAATCGATCTGAAGATTCATCACTGAAAATGAATTTGTTCTTCTGGTAATAACAAGAATACACATTGTGGTTAGAATATAGTATTACATTCTTACTAAATGTTCTTAATAAATTACGTCTGCAAAAGTGAAATATATTTGACATAATATTTTTTTTTGGTCTTTTTGAGACAGGGTCTCCCTGTAGCCCCAGCTGGCCTGGAACTCACCATGTAGACAGGCTGATCTCAAATTCAGAGATCCACTTGCCTCTGCCTCCCGAGTTCTAGGATTAAAGACATTGACATAATTTTTTAAATGTGCATTTATGTAGTGTTTGTGTCTGTGTGTCTGTTGGGGGGAGGGGCACACTCATGCCCACAGTACATGTGTCAAGGTTTGAGGACATTTATGAGAGTCAGGTTATTCCTTCTACCATATGGGTCCCCATGATGAAGCTCAAGTCATCAGGTGTCCCTTGGTGATGAGTGCTTTTGCCCGTTGAAGCATTTTTCTGACACACATTGGTATAATTTTTGACACAGCTACGCTTACATTTGCCTACAAACTGCCCATGGGTTTTTTTCATCAATCAAAATGGACATTGTGGTTGTCAAAATCTACATTTTATTTGTTCAGTAGGGAAATAAATTAAGAGCCCATTAGATGCTGGACAAACACTTTACAGTGGACTATTACACTTCCTTAGCCCTCTTTTTACTTTTGTTTCGAGAAAAGATCCCAGCAGTTTGCCCAGGCTAACCTTGAACCACTGGCTTTAAACTTTCAGACCTCCTGCCTCAGACTCCCAAGCAACTGGGATTATAGGCCTGTACCACACATAATCACATTTTTCTTAACCAGCATTAAAAAATACAAAGTCCCAGAAGCTTTACAGTACTTTTAAAGTTTTGGTGTTAGTTATAACATCTTTTTTACAAATTTCATATTTCTTAATAAAAATGTATACTTTTATAGGAGGCTTATAGGAAATTTCAGGAAAAATAACAAAGCTACATTATTAGAAATAAAAGCTACAGAAAATCTATGGCTCATATTTTAAGAGAGAAAAATTATTTAAAGTAGTTGATTAAAACTTGTCATATTTTACTTTAATTCTAAAAATAAGACTGAGAGATGACTCAGCAGTTAAGAATGCTTTCTGCTTGCAGAAGGACCTGAGGTTGGTTTTAAGCACCCGTATCAGGCTTGTTAAAGTTTGTTTTAACATAGTAATATTCTCATACTACATATATAAAGATACATTTCTTCCTAATCATTTTGTTTGTTATATTCTTTGTTAGTTTCATAATTAATACCACCTATTCAGTTTGTACCGACCCGACTTCCCTTTTCTAACACCCTGCAGACGTCCCCATATCTTCTCCCAGCTTATTTTGGAATAGGATCACAAATACAGTAAAGCTAAGTTAACTTCAACGCACATTTCAATATCATATGAGCTGTAAATTTTAGAGCCACCTGTCACTATTAGAATTGCTAAGAATTAGTCTGCTCAGGGATGTAGGACGCCTGTGGAGCGGAGGAAGGCGGTTAGGGTCTTCCTCGGTGCGGTGCTTCTGGTAACAGGGGTAGTCCTGTATTTCCTTCTCCTGAGATAGGAAGGTGCCTTCTCCTGTCACCAGGAATGCTCTCTTGGCCGGCGACCATCTGTGGGCCCCTGCCTGAGATCTAGCCTCTCATCTAGAACAAACGCAGGGGAAAGTTTAACAACCTAGAGAATGTGTTTCCATTTTGCACTGAGTCTAAAAGGACCCTGCTGCATTCTCTCTCTCCAGTACTCTGTTAATGTGCTAGTTCTGTCAGAGAAAGTACAACAAGAATAAATTAGAATTGTCCCTTAGGTGTTTCCTGCAAGGGCAGGTCTGAGCATTGTGTTGGCTGCTGTCATCTTTAAAACTTGATTCGGTCTAAGAGGAAGTGCTCCAGGCAGGATCCTCACATGCGTAGAAGGCATTCCTGGTGGGATATAAATAACATGTTCCCGCTTCATTCCTTGTGCTGGGGTAAAACATTGACCAAAAGCAACTCAAGGAAGGGAATGGCTTATTGGGCTTATACTTCCAGGTCACAGTTCATCATGGAAGGAAGTCAGTCCAAGAACTTAAGTAGAAACTTGAAGCAAAATCCACAGACGAACCCTGCTTGTTGCCTCACAGACTGAAGTTTAGCTGCTTTTCTTAGACAGCCCGGGACACCTGTCCTGCATCATTTAACTACCAAGCAGATATGCCCACAGGCCAATCTGATCTAGGCTTCCCTCTCAGATAACTCCAGGCTGTGTCAAGTTGATAATTAAAGCTGGTTAAGACACCAAACACGTTAAATCCTTTGACTTTTATGGTTGAAAGTCAACAGCATCAAAAATAAACACATATTTGACATATGTCTATATCCAGAATTTACTTGATAGTGGCCTTGATGTGTCTTCTTCCTCCTCCACTACTTAGTCCATCACTTTTACAGTTGACTGAGCCTCATAAGTATGCATTATTTATGGCATGGAATTCTACACATTCACCAATATCATCGACAACTCTTCATACCCCCTTCCTGGGCCATGTTGTTATAACTTCCTACATTTTGAGATAACATCATTGAGAGTCAGTTTTCCATAGCTGCTCTCCATTGGTTTAAACTCTGTGGTTCTGTGTATTATGTTAGGCTTTGTGAGAGGTTCTCTCCTGAGATTTGGGCTCATTTCATTCTTATTGTTACTGCCAAATCCCATTCTCACACACGGTCCTTATGGAGCATTTTCTGATAGCCCAATGCCAGAGGGGTTGGTTGGTGAACACAAAAACATCTCTCAAGTAGACTTGGTTGGTCATGGAAAACTACATAAAATCAGCATCCATTAATCTCTCCCTTTGAAGTGGGTGGATGTCTTGAATCCTGAAGGTCTAGAAAATTGGGAATATATAAGACATTTAGATCTCAAGGTTTGGTCAGTCTAACTGGGGCAATAGCAATTAAATAACTATACTGTAACCATGTGCTTTAAACACCCCAAAATGTTCCAATAATGTGTTACAGGAGCTCATGGAAAGGAAAACATGTGGAGAAGACTTAGAACCGTGGAGACAGGTGCAGAATCGGGGGAAGCTGTAAGGACAGATAGTGCCTGAAAACAATAAAGACACTCGGTGAAGGCATGTAACGTCATAACCTAGTCCCAACCCTTCATTCGGGTATAGATGTTTTCCAAACTCTTCAGGTCTCCCAGGTTCTGGGGGCAAAAACAGTTCCCTGTGACTTCACTAGAGAGGATCAGCTAGAACAGGCACCGTGTTTATTGTTACTTAGCACCAAAAACATATGTCTTGGGAACCTCCTCAGAGTCTGTACACTCCTTGAGCACCAGCACCATCTACTTCCCACCCACCTCCACACCTTCTGCCTTTACAACATACACAACACACTCCGCACAGTGCCTCATGTACGGTAGTCAAAAATGTTTGATAAATATATATCTGGATGAATATTTCAGCAACTAGAGTCTCACGGAATTCCATGGGTTCATAAAATCTCATCTTGTGTAGGTTTGGTAAGGAGTTAGGAGCAATGGCAACAGAAGTCTTGGGTAAGTAAGAGCCACTGCCCAAGCTCAGAATTCCCCTATTAACCCCCCCTGCTTGCTTGCTCCCCAACCGGCCCATTTTCTCAGAACACATGACGTCATAGAACAGTTTCCTCTGAATTGAAGCACTCCCTCCAGAAGTGAGAGCCGGGCTCAAGGGACTTAGGAGCTGAACAATAGGTCACATATGAGTAAACAGATTGGAGGGGGGCGGGGGACTCTGACCAACCAAACCTCAGAAAAACTGGCTGCAGGTTGAGTTCCAAGAAAGCCTAATTTGGGGTGGAATTTTCCATGGTGCCACTGCATTTGATTCATCCCTGTTCCTGTGAGTAACCGCACATCCATGATCCACTTAGGAACCCCAGTAAAAACTCATTGGTTCACCAAGTTGGACCTTCATTCAATCATTGCTTTGGCCTGTCATATGTTTTCTACCCAGGGTGACTAGATGTGTGTCACGTGTCGTGTTTCCACAGATAACACTTGTCACATAATACAAGGTTAGTGTTATTTACCTTCTCTGGTCCCACTTAGGACATCAGTAGCTGAGGCTAGCTCACCACGGCCATGTGTGAAATTGTCAGTGAAGCAGAAGGAAGAGGTGCTGGAAGGCTGGACTTGCTACCATCATGCTGTGGCACTGGCCAAGTCTCTTCTCTGGGCTCAGCATTCTCTTCTCCAGACTTGCCAGCTTCATTGTGCTCTATGGTTGTTTTCAAGGATCTTAGAGAGCATGCTTCCTGTTAGAGGACAGTCCCCTTTGTGATGTTTCCATGTGCAGGAGACTCAGCAGCTCTTCCATTCAATGAAAAATGAAGGGAGTCAGTTTGGCAACTGTCCCCAAGTTGCTGTGGGATACCTGAGCCTGTGCCCTTCTGTATAAATGGAATGAATTAATCACTTCTCCATTCTAGGGTTTACATTTGTAATCTCTTTCGAAATTATTAAAAAAAGGGAAAATTCAGAAAAGTTTGACTTGTGAACAGACCTTGAAAGATGATTAAATTCTACTTTTTTTTTTTTGTTTTTTTGACAGAGTCTCCCTAGTCCAAGCACACCTACCTGTAAGTCACTATGTAAACCAGGCTCTCCTTGAACTCACAGAGATACACCTGCCCCAGCCTCTTGAGGGCTGGGATTAAAGGCACATGCCACCATACAAGAAAAAAATAGTTGTTTTGATAAACCCAAATTAAACTCTATTTGTGGGAGACTGGGGAGATAGCTGAGTCAATAAAAGTATTGCCACACAAGCATGGGGACCTGGGTTCAATCCTCAATAACCCAGGTTATGAAAAAAAGAACACACAAACCAAATGTGGTGGCATGTGCTTGTAACCCCAGTACTAGGGAGACAGAGCCAAGAGGAACAGCAGGGCTCCCTGGCAACTCTCTGTAGCTCAATCAATGAGATCCAGACCAGTGAGAGACCTTGTCTCAAAAAGCAAGGAGGAGAGTGACTGAAGATGGCCTCTGATGCCAACCTCCAGCATTTGCATACCTGCAACACACACACACACACACACACACACACACACACACACATACACAATCATTTAATGCATAAAAGGTTTAGGGTTGAGATATGTGGTCTCAGTATACAAGAATCTCTGGGCAGGGAATGGTCGGCTTGAAGTAGTAGTAGAAAGGCACTGTAATATCTGTCAGCCCAGGAGACAAGAAGACCAAGTCCATCTGCCTTTCAGGGAAGCAGAAAAATCTTTCTAAAAGACAGTCCAAGGACTGAACCTCCATGTTAGAGTAAGCTTCCCATCACTTGCAATAAATGAGAGATACCTGACCTGGACATCTTTTAATTTAAAAATCAAACCACACACAGACCCTTCTGTGTACTTAAAACAATAAGGGAATCTATTGTTTCACAGCGCTAACTAGTCAAGGCACAGCGGGATCCAGGGGCTGGAGGCATTTTATCAGAACCACTGTCTTTTCATTGAGGAGTCTGTGGACTTCCTTGATGGTTGCTGACTCCAGGTTCAGTGAGACACCTGTGTTCTAGTTTACTTCTCTGTTGCTGTGATAAGCAATATAGCCAAAAACCAACTTAGGGAAGAAAAGATTTATCTCATTTTACATCTTACATCATCAACACCTGAACTCAAGGCAGGAACCTGGAGCAGGAACTGAAGATCAAACAGTGGAAGAAACCTGCTTCCTGGCTTGTTCAGTTACCTTTTTATACAGTCCAGGCCCATCTGCTGAGGGCTGGGCTCTGCTAGATTAATGAACAACTTAGAAAATGCCTCACAAACATGCCCCCCAGGCCAGCCTTAAGGAGGAAATTCCTCAGTCAAGGATCCCTCTTCTCAGGTGACTATAGTTTGTGTCAAGTTGACAAAACCTGACCAGCACACCCTGTCTCAAGGAAATATGGCAGAGAATGACAGAGCAGAGCAAGACACCTGATATCCTCCTCTGGGCTCTCTGTATGTGCAGAGGTATGCACACCTGCACACACCATGTACACATGCTCCATATGTACATACCACACATACACTAATGTACAAACAAATAAACAAAAAGAAAGGAAAAACCATGCTGTGAGAAATCAGAGTTAGTCTGTAGTGTACTTACACACACACAGCTCTGTGGCAGTTGCTGCTACATGAGAATCTGTGCAAACTCCCAGGATTCCAAGAACACCTTAGAGGTAACCGTGAAAACTTTCTATTCATATTCAAATTTTTCTGAGAAAGGTCTACACTTATCGTTGCCATCTCAAAGGAAAATATGGCCTCAAAACTTTAAGAGCAGCTGCCTCGGATGTTTTATGATACACTTGCAACTCATTACTTCCTTTTCAAATCAAAAAGTAAATCTAAAGTTCTTAGCAGATGGCATATTAGAAACTTTTCTCACTATGGTGGCTAGAGGAACTATAAGGAGAAAGGGTTGGCTCGGGCTCACGGTTTGAGGGGATACAGTCCATCACGGTGGGGCAAGGCAGGGTGCTGGGCAGCTCCTGTGGTGGGAATGTGCATCCTACAGCTGGTAACATCAGCGTCAGGAAGCAAAGCCATGCTGTAACCTCAAGTCCACTTCTCTCCCCTCCCCAGAAACCCACTTTCTCTGTGTAGGCTCCACTCCCTAAAAGTCCCACAACTTCTCAGTCACTGTCCCATATGTTTCTAACCTCCCCCACGTACCCCTAAAGACACACAGTGTGTCACAGAAGTTCCAGCTACATCTTAATCCAATGAAGTTGACAACCATCGAGGATGATGATGGAAACCTTTTTCAGTCCCTTTCACAGCAGCTGGGGAAAATCAGTCATTGCGTATTGTTTTAATTTCCCCTGTGCCTCAGCACGGGGTGAGCTTTGGTGAAATACCAGTCATCACAGAGCAGTGGGTCAACACATGACTGCCAAGTGCTTTCAGGACTTTTGAAACAAGCTCTAAGATTGGTGATTTCTGATGAAGCATCATTGGTTCTCCATTAGTGGAATTACAGTTCCCTCTGCGTACTCACTGAGGACATGGAGAGGACCTCCAGTTCCAGCACAGGGACCCTGAGATGAGCCATGCATCTGCCTGTTTCAGTCTCATTTTGCCTAAACTGCTGACCACAGAAGCCTGCATTTTGAGAAAGTCTCACGCTGTGAGTGCAAGTGTTGCTACCTGGGCTGTGTGGTCCTGCAAACCTCAGCTTTCAGGTAACCGGAGACATGGTCTGTTGAGAGGATAGGATTCCTGCCTCAGCCACCATGATCATGGGATGTTTCCTCTTGAGTTTAGAGAGCTGCTATCAATGTGTTCAGCCGACATTTGATATCTCTCCTCAAACCCTGGGCTTTTCTTAGCCTTGGATTGTTCTACCCCAGGAGTCTAACACAAGAAAAACAACAGCACAGTTAACAGTAATAGCAAGTATTTTTGACTATAGGCCCTGAGTCAGACACGGCACTCAACAGTGCATTCACTGGCCCCATCACTCACTCATTCGTGCCATCAACAAATACTTGCTGAGTTTTCAGCATGTACCAAGCAAGTTTTGAGCTGTGAGAGAATTACATCTGCACGCACACGCCTTCCCGACCCCATGGATCAACGGCAAAGGGAAGATGGCTAGGAATTACACTAAAAAATGTAAACTTATTGTAACTGCACCTAAGGAGGCCACGTGCATGGCTGGATCCTCTGATCACCATGCTCGGAGCCTTGTGATTATGGGATGGTACATAGAGATTTTAAGGCTAAGGGGGTGTGAGGCATTTCCTCCTGACCATAGCGGATTCTGTGAACCATCTCTTCATTCTACAGTGGAGCTGACACTTGCTCTGTTTAAATTGTTTTCCTGAGGTCAGCCTGGTAGGACCTATATAATCTCTAGACATCTCCTATCCTGTAATTTTATCACTAAGCACACTAGCATTAACATGCATGCCTTTTCACATGATTTATATTATCGCACCCCGACAGCAAGAGCAGCAGAGCCTATCATTTTCAGAATTCCTCTGGTTTCATCTCTGTTCCTTCTTTTTCTCTCACAAAACTCTCAAAATCAAATAAAACTAAGGCACACTAAATGTTGTGTTGTCTTTTAACTTTTGTAATGTCGTTTCTTTTTTCTTGTGTTTATTGAAGAAATAATTTCAGTACAATGTCCTTTAATTCAGCTAATTGTTCACTCTCCGTCTACTTTTTTTCCCTGTAACGTTGAAACTAAACCGTTAGAATCATCAGAAGGCATGCAGTAGCCACTTAGCATATTTAGTTTCTGTTGATTATCTGGTTTGTATTATGAAATCGTTTTCCGGACCCGCCATTCATGACCTATTGTGTTTGTATAGGTGCAAAGATGTGTACGCTGCTTTTCTTCGACTTGCCATTTTCAAACTATTTCTAATATCATCTGCTAATGCTGAGCAACATATTTTTCTTACGTGTTGTTTGATTTTATTATGAACTTAAACGTTTATGTGCATTAGGTGTTTGGCTTAGTTTCAATTTTCTGATTCGTTGAAGTTGCTCTTACATAGTTCCCTGCAGTTGAACCTCCTCAGATTGGATCCTAAGTGCCTCTGATCTGATACTAGTTGCAACTGATAACTTCTTTGTCTTCTGATATGACAATAAATTCTAGCTATTAATTACATTCATATCTCATATTAATATTTCTCATCTCAAACCTGGAGTCAACCGTTTATTGGCGGATCCCTTTAGTCAGGAAGATATAGTTGGGGGGCACCGTGTAGAGGTACGTGGGTGCTTATTGTTATTTGATTGGCATAACGTTGCCAAGGCTTTTCAGTGGATAGAGCTCAGAAATCAGCATGAACAATAGAAAGAAAACTTACACATTAGTATAAATTATTCCTTCCAATTCACATTGTAGTGACATGACTTTTGCTTAACTGCTCTGATTTTATAGTTATACCCCATTTCTCTTATGATGAAATTCTTGTTTTCTAATAATGTTCTCTCTATCCTATAATTTATTTATAATTGTATCAGAAGGGCTTGGCCAGTAGCATTTTCATTAGCAATCTGATAATTGAAAGCTGTTGAAGCTTTTCGCAGTGTCCTTTGTCCTTAGGCTATAATCCCCCACCCCACATGATGGACTGCTGAATGACTGTGCATTAAAATCGGCTGAAACAACGGTTTTCTGTCTGGTGATGACACTGGTTTGCTTTGTACTTGAACTCATTTATCACCTTCTCTACTGGACTTTGTGAATTTCTTTAGAAATTATACTTTTAATTTCATAAAATTGAACATGGCACATAAACAGATGCAGTGGAAATAGAAGAGAAAATGGTTTCCTTCCTGGTATCTGAAGACAGTAAATGCGGAGGCCAGCAGGTGCCTAGGATGGTGGAGTTCTTTTATCAGAAACACCTTTGTGCTCCCAGAGCAAGAGACGACCTTGCAGTCCTTGAGATGAATGACCTGTAATATCAGAATTTTCTCCCAAAGGGCAAGGTACTGCCTGAATTGGTCAGGATGTTTTCAACCATTCAAAAGAGAGACAGTGTCCCTCTTATGATAAGCAAAGAAAGGATCTAACAAAGTCAGAGTAAGACAAAAAGTTCATGGTGTTTTTTAGCTTATTGCTATTATAACCCCATTTGTGGACTTAGTTCTTAAGCTGAGTGAAAACCTCCCTAAGAATTCTTTTCTTATTCTCTTCCTGTCACTCCCTGTTCCAGACACTTCATCTCTCTCCTTCATTAGTTTCAAGTCATGCTACAAGAGGGAAATAGGGTTGGGAGAGATGGTTCAGCAGGTCAGAGCTCTTGCTGCTGTTCCAGAGGACCTAGGTTCTGTTCCCAGCACCCAAGTCTGACAGCTCTCAACCACCAGTAACTCCAGCTGTAGGTGATCCAACACCCCCTTCTGGCCTCTGCAGATACCTACACATGGGACACACAGATACATACACATATACATAAATAAAAATAAATAAGCCTTTAAAAATATAAAGCAGGAAGAGAATCAATTCCAAGGTAGAGCTTTGTTCGAATTCTGACTAAAGTGTTGTTGACACCCTGAAACTGTATCTGACCCTGTGCTTCGATCTCCTTATCTGTAAAATGAAGATAACATGAAGAAAGTGCTTACGTTATAGGATTCTTTAGCGAATTACACACGCCAGTGCGGGTGGAGTGCCTACATGAAGCCTGCTATTCGCTCAAATTGCAGACAGTGTGATGCTTTGCTCCAGATCTTTCCCTAAGGGTGTTAAAAGGGTTAAAGTTGGTAGAAGCCATTTTTTTCGTTCTCTTTGTCAGTGCTCTTCCTTGAGAAACACGGAGATTTTGTGCTGTGTAATAACTCACTCATCTCACCCAGTCAAATGACTTCTAACTAAAGATACTTTCCAGACGTGGATTTCTAGAAGGAAAAGGGGAAGGTTTCCGGCCTCTCTTCAGCTGGAAGTAACTTGGTTCTATATTTTATGGTCCCAACACAAGACCAGGAATCACGACTGGATCCCTCCTTCTTCAAACTCCAGAAAGAGGCTGTGTGGACTTCAAGGTAAATGGGATGATCAGATCGAAGTTTTGGTGAGCCCAGAGCCCCTGGCATCATCCACTTCATGTCCTGGTGATCTTATGAAACCTATGTCTGTGCCTAAGACTCTTTGTAAAATCAGGTCATTCTAGGAGGTTTTAATTAACCCTTCTACCTTTGGAAATGCATGGTTCTAAATTGATCTCCTCATCATCCTTGATATATTTCATATTAGTTCAGAGACACATGATAGGTACCTTTCTCTCACCCAATAAAATGATCACGTCCTGCCTAAAATGGTGTCATTTGTGGGCTTCGTGGGGTCTCTTTTCTGCTCTGGGATACTAAATGGTTAGAATTAGTGTTCTAAGAAAATATAGTACCCACTATTAGCTTGAGTTTCCAGAGACTAATTTGTAAATTCTTAGAGTAAAAACAGTAATAAGATTACTACCAGAATAAGAGCTGTCTTACTCTCCTCCTATGCTCTATATCTTAATTTTGTCTTATTTATTTATTCATTTATTTATTTAGGATTTTTGATAGAGTCTCATGTAGCCCAGGCTGGCCCCAAATTCATAATGTAGCCAAGCATAGCCTTGAACTCCAGATCCTCCTGCCTTTAAGCTCCTGAGTCCTCTGGTGACAGGCATGTACCATCAATCCTGACTTATGACTCTTACTCTTTTGCCTGGATCTAAGTTCAAGTGAGACCTCTTTACTTTTAAGCCTTCCTAATCTTAGTACTATTGTTACTGGGAGATTTTATAAATTATGAATACCGTTTCTTTTTTCAATTCATTTTCTTTTATCAATCTATAAATTGCTTCATTACCATTCTGGGGGAGTAGTCCCTCTCACATCGATCTGAGAGGAAAGAGCAATAGATGGGGCTTTAAGGGACAGTGTGATGTCTAAGTACAGTTTAGTTGTTATTATGATGAGATAGACATGGCTTCCAGGGGAAATGGTGATTCAATAATTGTCTGACACTGAGAGAAAATGTCGGATGGTGTTAGCCGTAGATGTGGATTTTCTACATCTGTCCTCGGGGCAATCTGCCACTGTTACGCTTCTCCAAGTAACAAGTGCTTCCCTTCGGCAAACGGAGTCCAGGTCTCCACTCCTACAGTTTATTGTGGACACAAGGATATGGGATTTTCCATGTGGCACATCAAGGACTCTACTGAATTTTCCAGCATCCCTTTGAACTCTGGATAGGACAAGTGGCTCCAGTAGAGCCTAACCCTAGGTAAAGCACAAAGTACAGCAAGCTGTCCCACACCACTGTCAGCTAGATTCCATGCACTTGTCTGAGGAACTTGGGCAGAGCGCACTGACTACACGTTTCAAGGACACTAGACAAAGTAGCCAAGTCGCTCTTTTCTTTGAGGTAGTTCTGACCCAGGTTAGAAGGTCAGCTGCTCCATCCACCAGTCCCATGACGTTTTACACCAGCAGAGTTCAGACTAAAGTTTGGAAGTTGTTGGAATGTCATCGCCAACTCCTGACTGAGAAGGCATTTTAAAGTGAATGCACCCTGTAGTCTCCTGTGTTCCTGCTGTTTAGATCCAAGGAAAAATCCCCGGGGATCAGACTCCGTTTGTATGTACACTTACCTGCTGCTTTATTTGCATGTGAATGTGATTTGCAGTTGGCAGTGAGCGATGGCTGTTGGATGGTCACCATGGCACTAAGGATCCTGATGCCTTGGCTCTTCTGGCATCACATCCAGGGACATGCTCTCTTCTGCTGTATCACCTAGAGAATTTGAGGGAAAGGCTGTTAGTCCTTATGGATATGGAGACCTGAGGCCAGCCAGGAGAGAAGTTTGAATATCACTTCCTATGAAGACAGATTAAAGAGATGAGGCTGTCCATTCACAGTAAGAGTTCCACTGGAGTTTGGAGACCATGTCACCTCTGTCAGGTCCATGAGAAGTTCATCACTGGTGAGGTTACAGTGGTATAGGCAGGGTCAGTGCTGAGGATGGAGCTCAGTGGTACGGTAAATGCCTAGAGGCTCCAGCTCCATCCTCCAGCACTGGAAAATAAATAAACTCTAAAGCTGAAAGGAAAATAAACAAGCAACACTAGAAGAGCAACAAGAAGAAACACAGCACCAGCAAAAGAAGCCGACCACCTCTGACTTACTTCAGAAGTGGACCACCTCTGACTTCAGAAGCCGACCACCTCTGACTGACTTCAGGAGCCGACCTCCTCTGACTTCAGGAGCCGACCTCCTCTGACTTCAGGAGCCGCCCTCCTCTGACTTCAGGAGCCGACCACCTCTGACTGCCTTCAGGAGCCGACCTCCTCTGACTTCAGGAGCCGCCCTCCTCTGACTTCAGGAGCCGACCACCTCTGACTGCCTTCAGGAGCCGACCTCCTCTGACTTCAGGAGCCGCCCTCCTCTGACTTCAGGAGCCGACCACCTCTGACTGCCTTCAGGAGCCGACCTCCTCTGACTTCAGGAGCCGCCCTCCTCTGACTTCAGGAGCCGACCACCTCTGACTGCCTTCAGGAGCCGACCTCCTCTGACTTCAGGAGCCGCCCTCCTCTGACTTCAGGAGCCGACCACCTCTGACTGCCTTCAGGAGCCGACCTCCTCTGACTTCAGGAGCCGCCCTCCTCTGACTTCAGGAGCCGACCACCTCTGACTGCCTTCAGGAGCCGACCTCCTCTGACTTCAGGAGCCGCCCTCCTCTGACTTCAGGAGCCGACCACCTCTGACTGCCTTCAGGAGCCGACCTCCTCTGACTTCAGGAGCCGCCCTCCTCTGACTTCAGGAGCCGACCACCTCTGACTGCCTTCAGGAGCCGACCTCCTCTGACTTCAGGAGCCGCCCTCCTCTGACTTCAGGAGCCGACCACCTCTGACTGCCTTCAGGAGCCGACCTCCTCTGACTTCAGGAGCCGCCCTCCTCTGACTTCAGGAGCCGACCACCTCTGACTGCCTTCAGGAGCCGACCTCCTCTGACTTCAGGAGCCGCCCTCCTCTGACTTCAGGAGCCGACCACCTCTGACTGCCTTCAGGAGCCGACCTCCTCTGACTTCAGGAGCCGCCCTCCTCTGACTTCAGGAGCCGACCACCTCTGACTGCCTTCAGGAGCCGACCTCCTCTGACTTCAGGAGCCGCCCTCCTCTGACTTCAGGAGCCGACCACCTCTGACTGCCTTCAGGAGCCGACCTCCTCTGACTTCAGGAGCCGCCCTCCTCTGACTTCAGGAGCCGACCACCTCTGACTGCCTTCAGGAGCCGACCTCCTCTGACTTCAGGAGCCGCCCTCCTCTGACTTCAGGAGCCGACCACCTCTGACTGCCTTCAGGAGCCGACCTCCTCTGACTTCAGGAGCCGCCCTCCTCTGACTTCAGGAGCCGACCACCTCTGACTGCCTTCAGGAGCCGACCTCCTCTGACTTCAGGAGCCGCCCTCCTCTGACTTCAGGAGCCGACCACCTCTGACTGCCTTCAGGAGCCGACCTCCTCTGACTTCAGGAGCCGCCCTCCTCTGACTTCAGGAGCCGACCACCTCTGACTGCCTTCAGGAGCCGACCTCCTCTGACTTCAGGAGCCGCCCTCCTCTGACTTCAGGAGCCGACCACCTCTGACTGCCTTCAGGAGCCGACCTCCTCTGACTTCAGGAGCCGCCCTCCTCTGACTTCAGGAGCCGACCACCTCTGACTGCCTTCAGGAGCCGACCTCCTCTGACTTCAGGAGCCGCCCTCCTCTGACTTCAGGAGCCGACCACCTCTGACTGCCTTCAGGAGCCGACCTCCTCTGACTTCAGGAGCCGCCCTCCTCTGACTTCAGGAGCCGACCACCTCTGACTGCCTTCAGGAGCCGACCTCCTCTGACTTCAGGAGCCGCCCTCCTCTGACTTCAGGAGCCGACCACCTCTGACTGCCTTCAGGAGCCGACCTCCTCTGACTTCAGGAGCCGCCCTCCTCTGACTTCAGGAGCCGACCACCTCTGACTGCCTTCAGGAGCCGACCTCCTCTGACTTCAGGAGCCGCCCTCCTCTGACTTCAGGAGCCGACCACCTCTGACTGCCTTCAGGAGCCGACCTCCTCTGACTTCAGGAGCCGCCCTCCTCTGACTTCAGGAGCCGACCACCTCTGACTGCCTTCAGGAGCCGACCTCCTCTGACTTCAGGAGCCGCCCTCCTCTGACTTCAGGAGCCGACCACCTCTGACTGCCTTCAGGAGCCGACCTCCTCTGACTTCAGGAGCCGCCCTCCTCTGACTTCAGGAGCCGACCACCTCTGACTGCCTTCAGGAGCCGACCTCCTCTGACTTCAGGAGCCGCCCTCCTCTGACTTCAGGAGCCGACCACCTCTGACTGCCTTCAGGAGCCGACCTCCTCTGACTTCAGGAGCCGCCCTCCTCTGACTTCAGGAGCCGACCACCTCTGACTGCCTTCAGGAGCCGACCTCCTCTGACTTCAGGAGCCGCCCTCCTCTGACTTCAGGAGCCGACCACCTCTGACTGCCTTCAGGAGCCGACCTCCTCTGACTTCAGGAGCCGCCCTCCTCTGACTTCAGGAGCCGACCACCTCTGACTGCCTTCAGGAGCCGACCTCCTCTGACTTCAGGAGCCGACCTCCTCTGACTTCAGGAGCCGACCACCTCTGACTGCCTTCAGGAGCCGACCTCCTCTGACTTCAGGAGCCGCCCTCCTCTGACTTCAGGAGCCGACCACCTCTGACTGACTTCAGGAGCCGACCTCCTCTGACTTCAGGAGCCGACCTCCTCTGACTTCAGCCACTGTGAAAACCGCAGTGGAAGGACTCACATTTGTTTGGAGGTAAGAATTAGCCTCACTCACCTAGCCTCAGTAAATCCTCCTGTGAAGATACGCGGATCAGAGTGAGATAATGCGTGCAGAAGGCACGGGCACGGAGCTAATGCATCCTCATTAATTGCTAGTTACAGCTCATGTTACTAACAGTAGCATACTAATAGTATTTTTTAGTAGTAATTAAGACCATAATAAGCGATGAATTGGAGATATAGCTCAGTAGGTAGAGTGCTTGCCTGGTGTACAAAAACCCCTGGGTTCAATCCTTAGCAACACATAAACCAGGTGTGGTGGTGCGTGACTGAACACCAGCGCTAGGGAGTCAGAGGACCAGGACTTCAAGGTTATCTTCAGATACATATTGAATTTGAACCCAGCCTGGGCTGCATAAGGTTCCAAAAGACTGAGATATTATGAATTTTCTGCTGTTTCAAGGGCAATCAAGGTAGTCAGTTGTCTCTAGGTATTGCAAACAATGGTGCCAAGCAGGTTCCTGAAGGGACTGGACGTGATGGGGGGTGGTTCTATGAAGCACCCCTCTCCTCTGAGTACCCATAGCACATTCTTTTTTGGTGATCCACCTTCCTTTTGTTTAGTGCCCCTGTCCCAAAGCCCTGGCAATTTCTGGGCCAGATTTAGCTGTGTTGCCACCCTATAACCATCTAAAATTAGGAAGTAACTTGTGTAGCTTTTTAATAAACTACTTCAAGGTGTGTTATCAGTGACTGAACAGAAGGCCTTGATTACAGTCTCTTTGGCATTTTGACCTCTGATTCTTGTTTTTGTCTGACTGGTCAAAGCTGGAGTAGTGTCATAATCTGCGTATGGGATAAATATGTGCCTGTGTGTATATATGCATGTATGTATGTATGTATGAAAGGTCAGATGGATGCATGCATGGATGTATATATTGATGAATGCATGAACAGATAAATGGATGGGTAGATGGATGATGGATGGATTGGTGAATGGATGGATGGATTGATGGGCAGACACATAGATGGATTGATGGATATAGGAATGGATGGATAGATGCATGGACAGATGGACAGGTAGACAGATTGGTGGATCGATGAATGGATAGAGGGTTAGAAGAATAGATGAACAGATGCGTGGATTGATGGGTAGATCGATGAATGGACTGGTGGATGAATGAATGGATAGATGGATGGTCAAATGGATTGATGGATGGATGGATGGATGGATGGATGAACAGATGGAGGGATACTTGCATGCATATACTGATAGATGGACAGATGGGTGGACAGATGGATGAACGATGGACACATGCTTGTATATATGTACAGATAGATGCACGGACAGATGCATGGACAGATCAAGGAATGCATGTATGTGCTGACTGATGGATGGACACATGGATGGACAGTGAAGCACAGAGCATTTCAGCTGTTCTGCTATTTGCTGCTTTACTCAACAGCTGAACCATTGAATATTCAACAGATGAACAGTTGCCATTGGGTTCTGACAGTGACTCTGCAGCCTCTGCTCTGTCCTCTCCTGCAGCTAGCATGTCTTCACCTCTCCAGGCAGCCCAGGTTCCCCTCACACATGCATTCTAGATGGTCTTGCAAAGTCTTACACATTACACTAAATTATATCTCTTATTCTCTTAAAAGTTATATTTGAGTTTCAACAGCTGACTCCTGGGAGCATCACCTTTAATGTTTTTCTAATTATTTTACATATGTGGGTATTCTGCCTGTATGCGTGCAAGCACACCCATGCATGTAATGAGAGGCCAGAATAGAGATCGGATCCCCTGAACCTGGAGTTAAGGACCACAGCAGCTGCATGGTGGAGGGGGATGGGGGACCTCAGAGAGACCCACAGAGACAAAACCAGAAGATTAAGGCATATCACAAAGAGGTTTGTGGAGGGTGTAATTTATTTATTTACAATCTGTGTACATATGTGTGAGCCTGCATGAGTACATGTGCACCATGT